TAAATTAAGTAAATATTAAATAATTGAAAATATACATATATGCCATTAGATGCTCTATAACTATTTCTAATATAACTATTTCTCTTTTCTCCGTAAAATGCATTCTCTTATATTAATTTTTGATGTTGTTATATAAATTAAATCAAATAGTGAAAAGTATATTGTTTAATTTTATTTAAAAAAAATTTAATTATTATTAAATTGTTGCAGATTGTTGCTCGCTTCACATATTCAAGCGCAGAATGAAATGAGACAATTATTTCCTTGTTGGGATGAACCACACTTAAAGGCTACATTTAATATTTCAATAAAACATCTTCCCTATTTTTCAGTTTTATCAAACATGCCGATATGGCATCACATCGGTGAAAGTGATAAAGATTTAATACACACATTCTTCTATATTACTCCTCCAATATCTACTTCTCAAGTTGCAATAGTTATAACAAAATATTATTATGATAGAATTAGCGAAAACATCGCTTTGTGGTGGGAAAATTTTCCAGAAGGGAAATCTCAGAAATTTGAGTTTGCACGAAGAATCATAAACAATATTACATTGCATTTAAAATCTGAATTCAGTGAGATAAATATTCCAAAAATGGATCATGTTGCAATTCCAAATTTTCTACAAGACGACACATCGAAATGGGGGCTCATCTTTCATACGTAACACACACATATTTTTTAATATTTAACAATACGTTAAATAAAAAAATTATATCAATTAAATATTTAAAACAATTTGTTAAATAAAAAATTTATATCAATTCAATATTTAAAACTTTGAAATTTATGCATCCATGTATAAACTTCAAATTCATGTATATATATATTTTTATAACTAATATTCAGTTAATTATAAGAAATCTGTTATAAAATTAACACAAAACAAAAAATGAATAGTTATTAATATTACCATTATCATACAGCATGATCTGAATACAATTTGTATTTCAAAATAAATACGGAAATTATAATCTTTAAAAACACATGACAAAAATATTGCATGTTAGAACAATCATAATAATTTCTAGGGAAGCTGATCTTATGTATGATGAGAAATTAGATCCAGTTATGCGCAAAATGGAAGTCGCACGTTTAATAGCATCTAAAATAGTATACCAATGGTTTAATAACATACTCAGTTCATCTTGGTCTCATTTATGGATATACGACGCTTTTGCTAATATATTCGGAGAAGAAGCTGTTGCTAAGGTTTTTATATTTCTTAATATCGCAATATGAAAAATATATCTCTGTTATGTATATCATTTTTAAGGATTATCATATTTAAAGATTAGATTCAACATAAAATTTAATTTTGTTCAAAATCTACATATTATCGGAATATTTGCTACGATATACATTCAATTAGAAATATGAATGTTACGTAAAGATTTTTGTGAAAAAAACTCATAAAAATCTTTTCAATTAAATGTTAATATAATTTCATAATTTAAAACATATAATCTCAAAATCATGTATAAACTTATTTTAATAATCGAATTCACACGTTATTACTAAATTAAATTATAAAAATTGCAAAATGATTTCAATAATAATGTATAAACTTGCTCATGTATATAATATGCAGTAGCGCTAAACACGCTAAATAATAATGCGGATACGTCATTTGCCTTAACGTTTATGCATGATTATGAAATTTTATTTTTAGAGCTTCAATAATTCTGAAATTTTGGATCTTTTCATTATTCAGAATCAATATCATCTCGAATCTCTTCATCTGGATTCTCATTTTAATATGAATCCTGTCGAAATCACAAGCCCATCGGAAATTAATTCAACTTTCAGTTTTCCTCGTTACATGAAAGGTAATATTAAAAATTAAAGGTACAATTAAATAATTTTTCCGTACAAATTTACATATATGAATATTATGAAAGAAAAGGGAGAAAATGTTTAGTTTGGAAAAATTCAATTACGATGTAATAATACATCTCTTATTGTAGCAATAATTATTTTACGGATGTTCCAAAGTGCTATTACCGATGAAGTTTTTCGAAATAATATCCATACATATGTTAGCAGACAGTGAGTAAAGATAATATAACAATTAATTACATCATGTACATACTATATGTATCGCGCGCGCGCACATATGTGTACGTGTGTGTGTATGTGGATTGTGATAACTATAAAAAACAACTGATAGAGACTATTAAAAATTTTCATAATATTTGCAATGTTTTAAAATATCTACGTTTTACTTATCATAAATTTTTTTTATGTGATTTGTTCATATCTTTTTCATTTCTTAAAGTTCATATATTAATTTAATTTTGTTTCCGAAAAATATGCGGCTATCCTTTTCAGTTAGTTTAAGAGACTTTCGTATGTAATATGTGTGTAAAATGAAACTGCATTGGAGAGTTTTATGTTTATGTTCAAGTTTAGTTATAATTTACATTTTTGTATTCAGTCCATTATGATGGTCCCTATAAACAGTCATTTTTGTAGAATGTCCAGTTCATTAATGCCTCATAATTTCTCATTCATGAAAGAAAAATTGGAAGATGAAACATATCACTGTAATATATCGTGGAATGAGATCTTAATTTGGATTCAAAACAAACATTATCCTGTTGTAAGCTGTGAACGAGACACTCATTCCACAGAATTTTTTCTGTCACTAAGTTACAATACAACAAATTATATTAATTGGCTGATACCCATAAATTTAAGGGAAATATCTTTAAATGAAAATTTTAAAACATGTTTAGCACCACATATTAATAATATCCGATTAATTTTTCCTCAAAGTGATTGTTGGATGGTGAACATTGAGCAAGCTGGTAAATACAAATATATACAAAATACAATATGTACAAAATTCTACACGTTTTATGTAATTATAAAAATAGTAAAAGATATTTCTGCAAATATTTGCACATTAAGTCGGATATTCGACGTTCCACTATAATAATGAAAGTATGCATGATGAGTGTTTTAAACATATGAAACGTATGAATGCATCTTCTTCATATATGTATGTATGAATACCTTTTAATATGAGAAAGAAGATAAAATAAAAAAACAT